GGCGTCCGCGACCTGCTGCACCAAATACAGACCAGATTCCACAAACTGTACGACAGAAAGGTATGTACTTTACGCCACACAGCACAGCCACTCAGATGCACATCACACACCCGATGGAGACACGTCAGTCATCTGATCTGATCTGCCTCTCACCTGCCCACCTGCAGGCCCACCTGCATCACTACACGCGGTATATGCCAGCCGGGGAGATCCACGCCGCCGACGAGGCCCTCACCTCACTCATCGCCGAGTACACCTGCATCGAGGAGCACCAGGTGCCGCCGCCACCCAAACACACCATCAACAGCACCAGCTGCTGCCCACCAGCGGCCCCACCTGCTAGCGAGATACTGCGGCTGGGCGCTGGGAGGATCGCCCACTTCTACGACCATCATGGCCGCTGGATGGGCAGTGTTGGTGGTCGTGGGAATGTGTATTGGGATTGGCTGTCATCGGTGGACAGGTCGTCGCTGCTGTGTGAGGACAGACTGCATGAGCTCTTCAGGGCCAGACCCAGGCCGCTCATCTGACCTCAGCGGATGGGATCGGATGGGTTTGCTTGTGTGTCTTGGCGTGTGTACATATACAGATGGATACGGTGTTGTGAATACTCATTGTACAGTCATTGAAATGAATGATTGCATTCAAGGGAGGTTTTTGTTGCGTGCTTCCATCTCTCAGTAAGTCCTGACAAACAAGGCCACATAGGATCCACAATCGGCTCTCACTCGATAGATACATCCACACCACACGAGGAAGGAAAAATGACAGTGAGTTCTTGAGTGAGTGAAAGCTCTTAAGAAGAGAGACATAGCAGATCACTGCCATCCCTGTAGCAGAAGCACTGTTGTTGCTCTCACCACACACAAGGAGGTAGGGTAGTCTGACGCAGAGAGCGGCCACACACGCATTGCTCCTGTGGCCGACCCTCATGGTCGGTCAATCATGTCTGTTACACCCGGCAAGGCAGCAAATACGAAGACATGACAGACAGACAGACAGGCAGACAGAGAGAGGGCCCGGGACGAGTAGACAGACGTACGCGTACGATCGATTACCACACACACAAATATATATATATATATATATTTGTACGTACAGAACAGTACAGACTTACGTACATATGATGATCGCATATATATGTGAGCCACAAACGGACATACATATTCATGGCCAATGTGTTTGTCAGTCGGTCGGTCGGTCGGGCAGATGGCCGGACGAGCAGAGATCGATGGACGGGACACACCGCACCACACCACTGATCTCACCTCATGTGTTGTCACTTTCATCCCTCCCTCCCCCGCCCCGCCTCGTGTGTGTGTGTGTATCCACTGTGTGTGTATGGATGTGTATCAGCACTGCGGGACGCACACACACACAGAGACACTCAGACAGTCAGACAGAGGGAAGCCACGACACCAAGGCACACACAGAATCCCAATCCGCTGGCCGACCCAAAAACTCGCGCCCCCCATCATGATGTACATATCGCCAGCATCACAGCTCATAGCCACTCAGTCGGTCAGTCAAACAGTCGCTCACCGCCGATTGCTTGACAGCTGGCTCCCTTCCTCCCAGCCCCCCCTCCCTGCCTGTGTGTGTGTGTGTGTGTGTAGGTATTGCTGGATGGATGGATGTCATCACTGCGGTACGCACACATACCTCCACACATGCCATGAGACGACACACCACACACACTACAAAACGTATCAGTGAGTGCACACGACCGACCAGAGAAATGAAATGAGGGCCGCACCAACTCCATGAAGCCAAGCAGACAGACAGACAGACAGCCAAACGGACAGCCAAACACAGGATAGGCAGGCAAGCAGGTGTGCGCACATCCATCCATCGAATTGGCAAACGACGGCCGGCACCTGAGAACGCCCACCTGACGGGCCTGTCTCACTCCGCCAGCACTGCACAGCCCACTGGGACAAAAGCCGGCTGGGCGGATGGGGTGAGTCAGACGCGCACACACCAGGCATGCGATGGATACAGATCGAAGGAAAAAAGACGTCACAGCAAATCCTCCCTCCCTCCGTAGCTCGTGTGTATGCTCAGCAATGCAGCACGGGGGACACTACGCACGGCATCACATCACGATCGATACCAATCCACTGGCCCCCG